TAGGACATACTGTATGCTGTAATTCAACCAGTTTACACAGTACACAGATGTAGCTATACTTTATTTTTTAATTTTACATGTACATGTATTCATCTCATACGTGCACATGTACGTAATGTGGAAGTAAACAATAGGCAGTTGCCAAAATTTAACTCATAACTTCCTTTAGTCACATGACTTTAATATTCCGTCATCTCAGGACTGTTTTCTTGTTTCTTTCTTTCCAGTTTTATTTCACTCTTGCGTATTTCCCCTCTATTTTTCTTGAAATGACAACCGAACTATCTTCCCCTGATCTCCTCAAACTGGAGGAACAGCTCACCTGTCTGATTTGTCTTGAGCACTTTACCAACCCTAAGATCCTACCCTGCCATCACTCATTCTGTGAGCACTGTCTGGAGGGATTATCTCGGGTTAAAAAGAATGGGACCTATTACATCTCTTGTCCCACTTGTCGTCGTAGTATAGAGCTACCAAAAGGAGGAGCAGGAGCTTTCCCTGTAGCATTCACTCTTAACAATCTTAAAGAGTTGTATAGTCAAATGAAGGAGGCAGCAGATTCTATTACTAGAGAGGCCACATGTAGTGATCATGGAAAGCCTTTAGAGTTCTTTTGTGATACTTGTGCTACAGTAATCTGTTCTCACTGTCCACTACGTAGTCACAAACATCACGAATATGACTTAATTGCTGACAGCTATACTAAACACTGTCAAAAGTTAAGAGAATGTATTGAAGGAAAGAAGGAAGCACTCAAGAAGGTCCTGTCTGCTCTAGCAAAAAGAGAGGATGAGATCAGAGAGAGAGAAAAAGAAGTCTTAGAAAAAATACATGAAATGGTAGAAGAAATGATGAATGTTCTTTGTCAGTCAGAGAGGAAACTGACTGAGCACGCAAAGAGGGTCACTGATGCTAAAGTGAAGGTGCTGTCAGAGCAAATGAAATCAGCAGAAATGAGTTTGAGTCTTCTGGAAGATTTTGAAGGTTATGTGGAACAGAGTCTGAAGACAGACAGTCCTCAACAAGTCCTGAGGTCTAAGAAACAGATGATGGAGCATACAAGTGAAGTTACTGCAGGGATCAATGTAAAGGAGTTACATCCAAAGGAAAAAGCTGACTTTGTATTGAGTAAAGATATCAAATCGCTACATCACATTGGAGATATTGTGACCTACTCATCTACTGCACTACAGCAGTGTAGAGTGAAAAAGATTGATCATATTACACATGCTGGCAAAGCAGTTTCATTTTCACTATCAATGGAGGCACCAGATTCATCTCTTTTGTCTGTTCCCCTATCTTCTCTGAGGTGTAGTCTAGTACCAGTTGGTAAAGGTGATCAATCCATTCACACTACAGTCACTACCACCAGCACTGATCCTGGAGTGTATAGGATACAGTGTAACCTTTCAACACGTGGTACTCATACAGTAAAAGTACAAGTATATGATGTACACCTTGAAGATACCTCACTAGTCATCCCATTCAATCCTTACCTTTACAGTATTACTCAAGTATGCACTGTAGCTGAGCTTAATGGTCCTTATGGAGTTTCTGTAAGTGGCAACCGTGTTATAATAACTGAGTGTAATGGTCACTGTGTAACAATACTGGATAGAGAAGGAAGAAAAGTGAAATCATTAGGAGGGGAAGGAGGAAGGAGTAATGTCAAATTTATTTATCCTCGTGGTGTAGCCATTACTCCAGACAAATTCATTCTTGTATCTGATAATCACAGGATTCAGAAGATAAGCATGGATGGATACCTTATAGCATCAGTTGGTAAGTATGGCAGTGAACCACTACAATTCAAATATCCTTCTGGTATAGTCATTTCTCCTATAACAGGACAGGCTTATATTGCTGAGTATGATAATCATCGTATACAAGTCTTGAATCCTGATCTAACCTTCTCTCATTTCTTTGGTAGTAAAGGATCAGCTAATGGACAGTTTCAGTCTCCATGTGGCATTGCTATTGACAGTCAAGGATTAGTGTATGTTGCTGATACTTTTAATCATCGCATTCAGAAGTTCTCTTCAGATAGAAAGTTTGTGGGTCAGTTTGGTACGTATGGATCTGGCCCTGGACAGCTTAATAAGCCATTAGATATAGCAATAGACACTGCAGCTACTGGTCTAGTGTATGTTAGTGAATGGGGCAATAATCGTATATCAGTCTTCACTAGTGATGGCGTGTTTGTTAGTAGGTTTGGAAGGGGAGGCAGTAATATTGATCAGTTTTATGGATTAACATTTGATAAAGATGGATTCTTGTATGTTTGTAATTTTAATAATAGCCGACTTATTGTGTATTAGATTTTCATTATTATTATAATTAGCTTTTTGATGGAAATAGTATTTAGTATTTTAATGAAAAAATAGTATTAGAAAGGGTTCGGAAGATGAGAAAGAGAATGTTTTTATGTATGGTAGACCGTCTAACTATTATTAAAGTTAAATAGCCTAATCTTCATTAAAGGAGGGTGTGGTCACAATGAAATAAAATGGCGGCTATCAGCAGCCTAAGCTCATTTGCAGCAAACGGTCAGCAAAATAAGCTATCCAAAAACTTCTCTAGCAGCAAGGAAGGTGATACACTACAGCAATAGCGGGGCTTGGGGCTGAGCCCCTTAATGTTTTACATTCTTCTAGTGTATTGATGTAATGATTATACATGTACCAAAAGGTGCTGTTGTGTATATTTTTTTGCAGTTGCCATACTTTTTATTATTGTTTTGAATATCATTATAAAACAAGACCTGGTATGCCTTCATTTTATGATTTTGCCACATTATTGAATTCATTTCACACCTGTTATCAACGTAGGAATGAGAGTACTGTAGTTTGCACAAATGCATTCAATACATAGTCATAATAGTTTTATTTTCATTTTATTCATGACTTTCTTGTACATGTGTACATGTACACTGTACTGTACATGCATGTATAGAATGTGAAATTTGGAAGCATAAGTAGTAAACAAACAACAGTTGCCTACATTTTACTTTTAACTTCCTTCAGTCACAAGACTTTGTCATCTTCAAAGCTTTTCTTACTTGCTGTTTCTTTCTGCTACTGCTCCAGTTATCTCATTCATTATATAAAGTAAACTGAAATTTACCTTTATTACTTGGCAGCTGTAAGTACTTACTACTATCAACCATACAATATTCCAAGAGGTCATCAGGGCTATCTTTCCCCACGCTACTCTCATTCGACTTCATTTTGACTTCTTAATTTTTTATTGTTTGTTCTTTGGTTCTTGCTCTATTTTTGTTTACGTCTTCTGACTTTAACTTTTCATTTTTTAGTGCTTGCTTTTACATGCAATATATTTTTTTTACTTTTTTGTCTTGAAATGGCAACCAAACCATCATCTTCTTCTCCTGGTCTCCTCAAACTGGAGGAACAGCTCACCTGTCCTGTGTGTTTTGACCACTATACCAGCCCTAAAATCCTACCCTGCCATCACTCCTTCTGTGAGCTCTGTCTGGAGGGATTACCTCTGGATAAGAAGAATGAGACCTATTACCTCTCTTGTCCCACTTGTCGTCATTGTACAGAGTTACCAGAAGAAGGAATAGGAGCCTTTCCTGTAGCATTCTACCTGAACAACCTCAAAGAGATGTACAGTCTAATGAAGAAGACAGCAGACTTATCAGATCCTCAAGAGGCCACATGTAGTGATCATGGAAAGCCTTTGGAGCTATTTTGTGAAACATGTGATAGAGTAATCTGTGTTACCTGCTTAGCTCATAATCACAAACATCATGAATATGACTTAATCACTGACAGTTATACTAAACACTGTCAAAAGTTAAGAGAATGTCTATCACCAGTTAAAGTAAAGAAGGAAGCACTCAAGAAGGTCCTGTCTGCTCTAGCAGAGAGAGAGGGTGAGATCAGAGAGAGAGGAGAAGGAGTCTTAGAAGAAATACATGGAATGATAGAGGAAATGAATGTTCTTCGTCAGTCAGAGAGGAAACTGACTGAGCAGGCAAAGAGGGTCACTGATGATAAACTAAAGGTGCTGTCAGAGCAAATGAAATCAGCAGAAATGAGTTTGAGTCTTCTGGAGGATATTGAAGATTATGTGGAACAGAGCCTGAAGACAAGCAGTCCTCAACAAGTCCTGAGGTCTAAGAAACAGATGATGGAGCGTATGAGTGAAGTTACTGCATGGATCAATGTGGAGGAGTTACATCCAAAGGAAAAAGCCGACTTTATATTGAGTAAAGATGTCAAATCACTGCATCACATTGGAGATATTATTTCAGGCACTCCTGCACTACAGCAGTGTAGAGTGAAGAAGATTGATGGTATTACGCTTGCTAGCAAAGCAGTTTCATTTTTACTATCAATGGAGTCACCAGATTCATCTCCTTTATCTATTCCCCTCTCTTCTTACAGGTGTAGTCTAGTACCAGTTGGTAAAGGTAGACCCATTCACACTACAGTCACTACCACAGGCACTGATCCTGGAGTGTATAGGATACAGTGTAACCCTTCAACACGTGGTACTCATACAGTAAAAGTACTAGTATATGATGTACACCTTGAGGATACCTTAATAGTCATCCCTTTCAATCCTTACCTTAATAGAATCACTCCAGTACGCACTGTAGCTGAGCTTAATGGTTCCTATGGAGTTACTGTATATGACAACCGTGTTATAGTAACTGAGTGCAATGGTCACTGTGTAACAATACTGGATAGAGAAGGAAAGAAAGTGAAATCATTAGGAGGGGAAGGAGGAAGTGGTAATGTCAAGTTTTCTTTTCCTAGTGGTATAGCCATTACTCCAGAAAAATTCTTTCTTGTATCTGATAGTAATCACAGGATCCAGAAGATAAGTATGGATGGATACCTTATAGCATCAGTTGGTAAGTATGGCAGTGGACCACTACAATTCAAGTATCCTTCTGGTATAGCCATTTCTCCTATAACAGGACAGGTTTATATTGCTGATAAATTTAATCATCGTATACAAGTCTTGAATCCTGATCTAACCTTCTCTCATTCATTTGGTAGTAAAGGATCAGCTAATGGACTGTTTATTTCTCCACATGACATTGCTATTGACAGTCAAGGATTAGTGTATGTTGCTGACTATGGTAATTATCGCATTCAGAGGTTCACTCCAAAGGGAAAGTTTGTGAGTCAGTTTGGTACTTATGGATCTGGTCCTGGACAGCTTAAAGAGCCAAAAGGTATAACAATAGACACTGCAGCTACTGGTCTAGTGTATGTTAGTGAATATGGCAATCATCGTATATCAGTCTTCACTAGTGATGGTGTGTTTGTTAGTAGCTTTGGAAGTAAAGGCAATAATATTGATCAGTTTATTTGTCCTAGTGGATTAACATTTGATAAAGATGGCTTCTTGCATGTTTGTGATTTTAATAATAAGCGACTTGTTATTTATTAGATTTTAAAAATTTTATTATGATGATGTAATTCGTGTTTGATTTATAAAAATACTCTACAACATTGTGGTCCAATGGTGACAGCTTTGATAATCAGTGTCACAATATTGCTGGGTGTGACAATGCATGCATGAGTATTCTCTATGAGATACATGTATATGCATGCATGTACTTGTATAACCAAAAGGTGCTGTCGGTTATATTTTTTATGCAACAGCGTTGAATTGACTTTACCTTTATTATTGTTATGAATATCATTTAAAACGAGATCACACCTTATTCATGTCATTTACATCATTTTATATTGCATTGTCGTCAAATTTTTGAATTTATCTCATGTGTCCTGTTATTAAAGTATAGAAAATGAGAGTAGTTGTGTTTGTGTACCTTATAGACGGTTGGCAATATGCCTGTAGACATAAGGTGTCTGAGTTGTAACTCCTAATACTAATATCTGCCTTCATTTGTGATGAAACAAAACCTAATTATTTAGTAATACTTTTACTTTAGACCTAACTATAGGACATACCGTATGCTGTAATTCAACCAGTTTACACAGTACACAGATGTAACTATACTTTATTTTTAATTTTTACATGTACACGTATTCATCTCATACGTGCACATGTATGTAATGTGGAAGTAAACAATAGGCAGTTGCCAAAATTTAACTCATAACTTCCTTTAGTCACATGACTTTAATATTCCATCATCTCAGGGCTGTTTTCTTGTTTCTTTCTTTCCAGTTTTATTTCACTCTTGCGTATTTCCCCTCTATTTTTCTTGAAATGACAACCGAACTATCTTCCCCTGATCTCCTCAAACTGGAGGAACAGCTCACCTGTCTGATTTGTCTTGAGCACTTTACCAACCCTAAGATCCTACCCTGCCATCACTCATTCTGTGAGCACTGTCTGGAGGGATTATCTCGGGTTAAAAAGAATGGGACCTATTACATCTCTTGTCCCACTTGTCGTCGTAGTATAGAGCTACCAAAAGGAGGAGCAGGAGCTTTCCCTGTAGCATTCACTCTTAACAATCTTAAAGAGTTTTATAGTCAAATGAAGGAGGCAGCAGATTCTATTACTAAAGAGGCTACATGCAGTGATCATGGAAAGCCTTTAGAGTTCTTTTGTGATACTTGTGCTACAGTAATCTGTTCTCACTGTCCACTACGTAGTCACAAACATCACGAATATGACTTAATTGCTGAGAGTTATATTAATCACTGTCAAAAGTTAAGAAAATGTATTGAAGGAAAGAAGGAAGCACTCAAGAAGGTCCTGTCTGCTCTAGCGAAAAGAGAGGATGAGATCAGAGAGAGAAAAGAAGGAGTCTTAGAAGAAATACATAAAATGGTAGAGGAAATGATGAATGTTCTTCGTCAGTCAAAGAGGAAACTGACTGAGCAGGCAAAGAGGGTCACTGATGCTAAACTAAAGGTGCTGTCAGATCAGGTTGAATCAGCAAAAGCTAGTTTGAGTCTTCTGGAGGATTTTGAAGGTTATGTGGAACAGAGTCTGAAGACAGACAGTCCTCAACAAGTCCTGAGGTCTAAGAAACAGATGATGGAGCATACGAGTGAGATTATTTCACAGATCAATGTAAAGGAGTTACATCCAAAGGAAAAAGCTGACTTTGTATTGAGTAAAGATATCAAATCGCTACATCACATTGGAGATATTGTGACCTACTCATCTACTGCACTACAGCAGTGTAGAGTGAAAAAGATTGATCATATTACACATGCTGGCAAAGCAGTTTCATTTTCACTATCAATGGAGGCACCAGATTCATCTCTTTTGTGTGTTCCCCTCTCTTCTCTGAGGTGTAGTCTAGTTCCAGTTGGTAAAGATGATCAACCCATTCACACTACAGTCACTACCACCAGCACTGATCCTGGAGTGTATAGGATACAGTGTAACCTTTCAACACGTGGTATTCATACAGTAAAAGTACAAGTATATGATGTACACCTTGAGGATACCTCACTAGTCATCCCTTTCAATCCTTACCTTTACAGTATTACTCAAGTATGCACTGTAGCTGAGCTTAATGGTCCTTATGGAGTTTCTGTAAGTGGCAACCGTGTTATAATAACTGAGTGTAATGGTCACTGTGTAACAATACTGGATAGAGAAGGAAGAAAAGTGAAATCATTAGGAGGGGAAGGAGGAAGGGGTAATGTCAAATTTATTTATCCTCGTGGTGTAGCCATTACTCCAGACAAATTTATTCTTGTATCTGATAATCACAGGATCCAGAAGATAAGCATTGATGGATACCTTATAGCATCAGTTGGTAAGGAGGGCAGTGGACCACTACAATTCAATGTTCCTGATGGTATAGCCATTTCTCCTATAACAGGACAGGTTTATATTGCTGATAAGTATAATCATCGTATACAAGTCTTGCATCCTGTTCTAACCTTCTCTCATTCATTTGGTAGTGAAGGATCAGCTAATGGACAGTTTCAGTATCCACATGACATTGCTATTGACAGTCAAGGATTAGTGTATGTTGCTGATACTTCCAATCATCGCATTCAGAAGTTCTCTCCAGATGGAAAGCTTGTTGGTCAGTTTGGTACTAAAGGATCTGGTCCTGGACAGCTTTATTATCCAAGTGGTATAACAATAGACACTGAAGCTACTGGTTTAGTGTATGTCAGTGACTGGGGCAACAATTGTATATCAGTCTTCACTAGTGATGGTGTGTTTTTTAGCAGGTTTGGAAGGGACGGTAGTAATCTTAATCAGTTTATATATCCTTATCAGTTAGCATTTAATAAAAATGGATTCTTGTATGTTTGTGATTTTAATAATGACCAACTTGTTGTTTATTAGTCTTTTACTTAATAGTTAAATTATGTCAATTATTGTTTATTATTTTTAAAAGTGGCGTATCATTGCCAAAAATGTTGGTTTTTGCTTACAATTGTTGATTATAATTAATGAGCCACACCCACATATTTTAAATGGAATTTTTCTCTGCAATAGATTCTTATGAACTTATTAATTGTAGTGCATCTACGTGTATGCAAAAATAGACATAGGTATACATGCAATATACCATCTGGTAATTTTAGAGGGGAGAAGTTTGGACCCCTGGTTATATATGACCCTCCATATGAACTTTACTGTATAAGTCAGTCTCTATATATAGTACAGCCTCATAAAGGACAGTTTTACTTGTCCCAATTTAGTCTTTTACAGGTGTGGCATATGTACATGCATGTACATGTGCTTTATTCTTTTATTATCTCTCCTTTTATCTCTCTCTCCCTTCCTCAGTTCCTGGTCCAGTAGTTGATGTGACATATACTCCATCATCCGATGGATCATCATTAAATGTCTCATTCAGTTCAACCAATCAACCTTACTCCAATGGAATGATAATGAACTATACAGTATCACTAGTACTGTATACTGGTAGGGACTCAATACAGAGCTCAACAGTCAATACTTCACTGGATAATGTAGTTGTAACCTTTACTGCATTAAGTGAGTTTGAAATTTAGATTTATTTGAATTTGAATTGTAATAATTACCATTTTATCATCTTTATTGTTATTAGGTAAATTTGTTCCATACAATGTTAGTATTGTGGCTTTTAACGAAATCGGAAGAGGCCAAGAAAGAACAGACATTGTATTCACTGCTGAAGGAGGTATAGAAGTACCATATAATGCTTTAATTTGGCAGAGTTTTATTTTGGCGATTGGCAGTTTGCAAGCAGGATCGCCAATATTAAAACCACCAATCATTAATGCTCATGCTCAGTAATGCACGTGTACACAAAAATCGCCAAATTAAAAACCGCCAATTACAATTTTACAGCAAAATCGCCAAAATAAAGCGCCACCAAAATAAAGCGTTATACGGTATTTTAAGTATTAAAAATATATATTACGACCACGAATAATATTATTTAAATAATTATAATTATTATTAAAATTACTTTGCTTTGTATTGTACTGTATCAAATATTTTATTTTACTTTTGTACAATCTAGTGTACTTTTCTTTTTTATTTATTTTTCATTCTTATTCTCTTTTCTTTTTGTTTCACCTCTCTCCCCCTCCCTCCCTCTCTCCAGCTCCCCCTAAGCCCACTATCACTGATGCGTTGCGTATCAACGGCTCCACAATGTTCGTCAAGTGGATCCTAATCCCTATCACTGAATCACATGGACACATAAGCCGGTACACAATAAGGTACTCTCCTAACTCAAGGAAGAGGCAGCAGCCTGGCAGTATCAGTGTTCCTGGTAATAGAGACAGTGTGTATATTAATGGATTGAGGGCTGGGTCTACTTACAGTGTTACTGTCTCTGCTAACACTGGAGGAGGAGAGGGGAACTCTAGTGACAGTTCATTCGTTGAACTACCACCTACTACAACTGGTCCAGGGGAAAGTAAGGAACCTACATGTACATGTACATGTGTACATATTAGGGTTCTGCCTATAAATAAATTAGAGGTGGTCGGAGACTAATATTGTTCCTTTTAAATTTATGTACAGCATACTAGTAGACTACAATATCATGCTTTATGTATGGCTATTAGTATTAATTGGATGGTTGGTCTAAGTGATGAACTGGTTGGTTCATTTGTTGA